TGCTTTTGTCATGGTCTGTCTGCCGAAACGAAAACGATCTCCCCTGGACACAGGCTCCCACGCGAAAGGAGTCCACTTCATACTGGTGGACCGAGTTCCTGGCCTCAAACACCTGGTCAGATGAAGAACTTTGCTCCTCAAGAATGCTCAAAAGCCATCATCCTCCTGTTGTTGCTGCAATTGGTGGCGACGCCGTGGAAGATGCTGCGCAGCGGCCTGAAACCCAGGGGGGGGGGCGCTCACTCCCCAGGGGGCCCTGAGCTGCGACCCAAACCAATCCGAGAGGCGCGAGTCATCAAAAAGCGCCAGTGGTCGATAGTCCCATTCGTCGATCACCTCCGAGCGCCTCCCCCCCCCGTTGGCGTAGACTGGCCGCGTCTTCCACAGACCGATGGGCCCATGGAGAAGCTCGGGGGCAAGATGGCCGCGCTGATCAACGGCCTGAACTCCTTTTTGCCTGTCGACAAGGATGGCGTAGAAGAGGGCCCCCCAGTCAGCAGCGTGATAGCGCGGTTCCTTCGCCCACTGCTCGCACCACTTCAGCCCGCGAGCACGGAGTTCTATCTCGCGCGGCGCCACGCGCCACAACTGCAGAACCCGACCGGCGGGAAGAGAGCGCTGGTGACCGCTGTGTCATTCTGTAGCGGCACCTCGAAGCGCTCGGCGAGCAAACGAGACAGCTGCTTGCTGACCTTCGAGACCTGCACGGGAGGGAGGATGAAAGCCTCCAGCGCCGAGACCGCATGGCCCACCACCACGCTTAGAAACATCGCTCGTTTTTCGACAATTGGGATTCGCGCCTGATACCAGCACCTCCCCATAGAGCAATGCCCCGTTGATATGGCGGCCAGTCGGGCCTCGATGTCGAACCAGGGACCCAAGATACTTGGCAACATCATGAGGGCCTCCCGCCGTGGGGGCGGTCTTCTGTTTGATGGCCTGTTTGCGCTGCTGTTTCCCAACCCCTTGGAACGATGCTGCGCCCTCGTTGTTGGCGGGGTTCAGGCGGCAGTTGCGCTCGGCAAGGCACTCCGAACGGATCTGGTCGCACAGCAGAGACTGGCGGCTGAGCGAAGAAGCGGCATTCCCCCCGGCACCGCAATCAGTTTGCGAAGCGCGGCACCCACATAGCTGCGAAACGCCGGATCAATTTCAATGGGCTCTTGTCCATCGGGGCGAAGGCCCAATGCGCGCCAGATCGCCGCAACCTCCACAGCGGCAACATACTCAGCCTGGGCCTCCGCAAAGCAGCCCCCGACGTCCCTCGCAAAGACTCTATCCGCCCAAGGATCGCCCTGGAGTGCCCCCACCCACGGCTTCGCAAGTCTGCGCCCATCCTACTCCTCGAAAGCAAACTGCAGATAACTTAAAGCGTTGCCCCCTATAAAACTGCCCCCCTCCCACGATCTCCAGATTTGCGGGCCGAAGCGCCCCCCGACTGGACGAGCCGAATGGATTTGCAAGATCCTTGTGATCACTCACAAACTCGAGCCCTAGTTGACGCAATCGCCATCCAAACGCCTGCTGCGCCATTAGAGGCGTCTCTCGCCGCCTGCGCGCAACGCGCCCATGAGAGGAGAGAGGTTCGTCATCCCTCTGAACGGGGTCGACGCAAGTTGCCGCGAACGCCTTGCCCAAAGGACAAGGACAGAGCACATGCACCGCGCGATTCCAGCTGGGCGCTGCAGCCTGAGACGAGTGCGAGACTTGAGGGGCCTGACGCGCCCTACGTATTCAGTGCATGAAGGAGACCAAGAAGCCACACGCGACTTGCAAATCAATGTCTGGAGCCTCATAACCCACCCCTCGGGATCTGTTTGAGGTTCGCTTGTAAGGAAAAAGATCGCCCAACTCCTGCCCGCCCGTCGCAAGCACCGTTAGCTTATCACGTGCCCGAGACAGCCCCTCCTCTGCGAAGTCCCCCGATAAATAGCGCGCCTCCAGGCCCCCCACGGGATGATACGGATATTCGTGTGCATGTGCATTCCAGCCCACCACCTCGGCCTCCATTCCTCCCTGCGACGCTGGAAGGAGCCACCTATCTTGCAACTCTTTGCTGGTGGGAAGAGCCTCATGGGGCATGCCGTAGTTCCTCTCACTGGGCCCTGCTCCCCCCGCAGAGAGAAGCCTGGCTAATCTGGCCACTTCGGCCTGCCCACCAGCTCGCATGTTCTCATGGAGCTCATCGGTGACGTCCTCGCGCCGCTGCTTCAAACACTAACGACGCTGCGCGCGAAGCTGACGGGAGACACATCGGATCCCTTGCGAGATCATGGACATCTCAAGGTCCGTGTCCACCGCGGAGATCTCCTGACGGAGTTCCCGAAGCCTCACAAATAGATCAAGCACACGCTGTGCCTGTTCTGGGTACTCTTTAGTCCTGACCACTGTGCCCGTGAAGCATTGCTCACCGGCTTCGCAAACGGCTGAAACAAAGAAGCCCCACTCTGCATTCGGTGTATGCTTTTCTCGAAGATACCTATGCCACTGCCCTTCTTCGCGCGTCATGATGGCTTCAAGGCTGATGAGATATGCCGCTCGGTTGGTGCCCATGCGAAGGCATTCCATCAAAGCTTCCCGATTCCATCGAACGCGCCTGGGAACAAATCCAACTCGCAGGTCCTCCTGTAGCGAGGCCTGGTCGACCGAAGTAGTAGCTGCGAGAGAATAGGCGAATCTAGCATGTACAGGGAGGTGGTCACGGTGTTCTCGGTGCCTGACGAGTTGGAGCCTCCTAGTGAGCGTCCTCAGAGGGCCTGCTGAGGTGACCTGTTCGAGCGCACACCTGGGGATGAAGACGTAGTCGATGTGCGACGATCGGCCCGTAGAGCTGTAGTATGTTGGGCCCGTCCCGACAAGCATGTTGACTGGCCCGAAGTGTAAGTCCTGGATAATGCGTAGCATAACGTCCGCAGCACAGCGTTGCTTAGTAGAAGCTACCCGAGTCCCAAGACGATCATCACGCACGGGAGTCCAGTCCTCACTTCCTGCCAGTCGCTGGAGCCCGAAATCAGAATTCAGATCCATGGCCAGGATGGGAAGGCACCGAAGAACGGCACAGAAGGGGAGCTCACGGATCCATCGCACTATGTTATCACACGTGTTTTACATATGCAGGGAACAGATTGGACTTCGTGGGCGGCGGCGGGAGGTACACGCTAGCAACCCCGAGGTCATACTGACTGCAGCGAGCACGGAGAGCTACCCCACAACCTGCAATATACGATGGCGAAGCCCATGTATGCGTAATTGTATTCCGCCGAATGCGAGGACCCAAGAGAATGGTGCATCCCGAACTCATGTTGCTGCCTGGCGCACGAACCCACCCTGCCTCCAGAGCCCATCGACGATCCGCCGAACGCCAGACAACGCCTTCCCTGCCATACTATCGAGCACCTGTTCCTGCAAGATACACAAAATCGAACTGGCTGGTCTGCTGCGAAATGTCCACGAGACGATTATGAGAGCTGGCCGGCAATGGATTATATTGCAGAATGGAAACACCGTTCATGAAAAAGAAACTGCTGATGGCCAGCAGTGATCGCTGTATGCGCTTGTTCTCAGCACAAGACAAGAAACATGGCGTGAGAGGCGCACTGTGTCAGTACAGCGGTGTGTGCAGCACCGTCAAAAATGAATGTAAGTATGAGGAATGCAAGATCTGCGTTAGCGGAGTGGCCCCCCAGCACTGCGCCAGGGTGCTTAGGCGCAGGAGAAGGAGGAGATGTTTTGTTGATTCACTCACGATCACTGCCAAGACATACGCACTGGGTGGCCGGCGACACCACCCAGCGGGCCAATGAAGAGGGCGCACCGTGCCAAGCCAACACCAAAAGAGGGGAAGAGAGAGAGAGAGAGAGAGCGACAGAGGGAGAGAGAGAGAGAGAGAGCGAGAGAGAGAGAGAGGCGGCAACAAAACTGAAAGGCGGCAGGGTACTCTGCCGCTGGCGACCACCTCACCCTGGCGGCCACCGGGGGCGGCGCACGATTCAACATAATCACAGAAGGCAAGCGAAGGACCCAGCCCAACAACACAAGACAGCAAAACAAAACACAACACAACACAAGAACACAACAAAGGGAACAAAGAGTGGAGCCCCAGGGCCCCACCAAAAGCGAGAAGCCAACAGGAGGAGGAACGGGCGGCACGAGCGGCGGAACTCCAGGCTGCCGCGGCAGGAGCCTGGCACTTAACCAGGAGACTGCGGCGCGGGACAGGATAAAAGAGTGGCCAGGCGCGGGGGGGGGGGCGCGCAGGACGAGAGCGTGCCACTGAGGAGCTCCTCGCCCCGAAGCCCCGCCAGTTACGGACCGAACAGAGGGAAGGCAGGTTCGGGGAACAAGTCCATCAGGAGCACGGCCGCGCAGGGCGGCAGAGAGAGCAGCGGGGCACGAGGCGCGGAGGGAAGCACAGAGAGCAGAGAGAGCGGGTGGCGAAGGAGCGGACACTCATCCGCGGGCGGGCTCCCCACCGGCGCCAGCAGGAGGAAGAGACGAGTCCTGGGAATCAACCTGCAGGGTTACAGGCCCAGCACGGGCGTCTAGATCCGTCCGAGAGGCTATCAGGGATATCCGAATCCTCAATGGAGGACGAGAGGGGAGCAGGATGATTATGATGACGATGATGATGATGATGATGATGATGATGATGATGATGATGATGATGATGATGATGATGGTGATGATCAAGAGGAGGATGATGATGATGATGATGACGATGATCAAGAGGAGGAGGAGAAGGAGGAGGAGGAGAAGGAAGAAGGGGAGGCGAAGGAGGAGGAGGAGGAGGAACAACTGAGGAGGACGAGCAGGAGCAGGAGGATGGCGGAAGAGGAGGCAGATACCAAACAAACAATGAGGAAGAGGAAGGAAGAGGAAGGAGGAGGAAGAGGAAGGAGGGCGGATGAGAAAGAGGAGGAGGGAAGGGGACGAGGAGATGGAATGAGGAACGCTGGAGGGGAGGAGGAGGGCCCTCTCCCTTGTCGGCCCGAGCCCCGGGCTGTGCCCGCGCAGCGGCGGGTGGGGCGGCTGCGCCAGCCCCGCGGCGCCGTGCTGCGGGGAGACGGGCGGGAGGGGGCCGGGAGGGGACGAAGGTGGACAGTGGCAGACCCAGGATGCCCGACCCCGTCCTTTTCCGCGGGCTCGCCGAGGTGGCCTTGCAAGCCACTTCCGCCGCCTGGGGGCCCCTTCCCTCGCCCTGCCGAGGCTCGACGACGCGTGCGCCACAGGTACACTCCATCCGCCAAACGGCGGCCCGCGCCCTGGAACCTGAAGGCGACCCAGGGAGGACAGGGAAAGGGAGGAGAGGGAGGAGCGGAGAGGAGGAGGCATGAGAGGATCGATGATCCTCAGAACTTGTGCCAGCTTGAAAGTGGGTTTGTCCACCGAAGCCCTTCAATCTGACGCAGCCTGTGTAATGACGGCCGACATCAACTGCGTGCCATCCTCCTAGCTGAACGGAGCAAACCCTCATCGCGCGAACACGCGTTCTGAGGACCATCGAGAGGAGCGCAACGACTCACTGTTCGGAGGCTGCTCATGATAGCTCTTTGCGAGACAGGTGAAAGGCTACCAGGAGAGATCCGAAAGACCAATGAACCAAATTGGGCTCGCTCAAGCCGGGGATTCGTCCGGAGTCGGACACATGAAACGATCTGGCCAGAATAATCCAGCTTGAGCGGGATCAGACCAGCTTTCGGCCACGGATGTACCAACGCCGATGCTGCATTGACCTTCCCAAGATAGGCATCCTCATTGAGAAGAGCGGGATACCTTCAGCAACGAGAGATCCGAAAGCGAGCGACGGCTCGAATTTGGATTGGATGGGGATACCCAATTTGACAAGTGATGTTTTGCTCGCGGAGGCGAACGAACGCTGGCAACACGCGTCTAACACGGGCACGACGGGTTGCCATCTGCCCTGCCCGGAACCAAACGGCAGACGGAAAAGAGAGAAGATTGGACAGCGCAAAAGAGGCAAGCAACATCAGTAGGCTACCGTTCGGTCTGCCCTCTCAGGAGAAGGAGAGAGTGGCCTAGGCAGGGAAAGGAGGAGGCTGGACGGGAGGAGGCAGGGGAGGAGGTAGGAAGGAGGCGGAGGAGGCAGGGGAGGAGGCAGGGGAGGAGGAGGAGGAGCGCAGGCCCCGAAAATGTCGGGAGGGCTGGCCGTGAATTAGACCAGCATCAAACCATAACATTGGAAAGAACACGCACCTTGACATCTCTCGCCGCTGACAGGGGCCGGCAGCCTACCTGGACACCCGTGGCCGTGGCGGCAAGACTGTGACCCCGACCTGGCCCAAAACTTTGACCGCCAGCCTGGGTGGAGGGCACCGAAATGTGAGGAGAAGGGAGAGGGGGAGGGAAGGGGGAGGAGGAGGAGGAGGAGGAGGAGGAGGAGGAGGAGGAGGAGGAGGAGGAGGAGGAGGAGGAGGGAGGAGGAGGAGGGAGGAGGAGGAGGAGGAGGAGGAGGAGGAGGAGGAGGAGGAGGGGAGGAGGAGGAGGAGGAGGAGGAGGAGGAGGAGGAGAGGGAGGAGGAGGAGAGGAGGAGGAGGAGGAGGAGGAGGAGGAGGGGAGGAGGAGGAGGAGGAGGAGGGGGGAGGAGGAGGCAGGGAGAGGAGGAGGCAGGGGAGGAGGCGGGCCAGGAGGGATAAGTCGGGAGGAGGAGGAGGAGGAGGAGGAGAAGAAAAGAAGAAGGAGGAGGAGGAGGAGGAGGAGCAGGGATGATGGGGCGTTCCGACAAGTTCGACGGATAATGATGACGATGACGATGAGGGCTGATGGGGATTACATACGGAGCGCAGTGGCAGGGATGGGAGGCGGTGGAGGAGGAGAGGAGGAAGAAACAGGGCCCTGTCTTTTCAAAACGAGGGCCCATACCACATGGTGGTTGGACGTTGGGAAAAATAGCGACGAGCACAAACACATGAAAACAAAAACGTCCACCACGCTGCAACTTGCAACCCTGAAGAACGCCAAGCATTTCTAAGACGGAGTGCGCTCGGCGCCAAGGCCGGAACAGCTTCTTGAAAACGGGGCTCCACCCATTCGCGTGCCTGCTGAAGAGTGTAGGACGAATGCACGTCGCAGCCCAGCGAGAGCCGGATGTTGAAGACTCCCTCAGCTCCACTACCATACGTGCAGAGCTGCTCGGGACGACTGTGTACGGCACCGAAGCAAGAACTACACTTTGAGGACGGCTCGTCATCCGCCCGTGCAACCATACGAAAGCTCAAGCTTCAAGATCAAAAACTCTATCTAAGACCGTTTCAGAAGAAACGCCCAGCCTGTCCCGGGGCTGGGGAAGAGATGAGCGGGGGTAGCGAACAAAAAAGCAACGGATTTGAGCAAACGCAAGACGAGGAGAAGAGCGATGATGCCGACAAACAGGGACCAAAGGAGGAGGACAATCACATCAGTTAACAGAAAAGGCAGGAAGATATGATGAAGATAATGAGGAAACGCAGGGTTATATCAATGAAGAAAAGGAAATGGAGGAAAAGGAACACACACGAAGACAAGAAAGAAGAGACGGAGGAAAACAAGTAAAAACGAGGCGACAACAGAAAGGAAAGAAGGCGAACACGGGGGGGGGCGAGGAGGGTAAAAAAAAGCAGGGGGAAAAGGAGTGGGTGCAGGAAGACGAGCATGATCAGGAGGGCGAGGGGCATGGGCGCCCAGGTCCAGAATTCATCAACGATGCTGCGATATGCTCCCATGCACGTCCCCTCATGCTGGCTCCGCTTGGCTGCTCAGCTCAAAAGATGCCGCACAGCAGGATGGCAGCGGAACGAACAAAACTCGTCCTGACCGCATGGCCCGAGAGCACCAGACGGTTTTCGGCACGCGACCCGCCACCTGCAACCACATCAACGAAAGGCGGAGCGGCCATCGCGGGCCCCCTCCTCGAAAGTCCCTGCAGGCCTCCAGGGTCACTGCAAGAGAAACCCCCTCGAAAGATAGGCGCCCCATGGCCCAGCCACGGGGAAGCCCCACGTCCTTCCGAGCGAATGGGAAGCAGTGTCGGCGGGGTTCTCCGCGAGAGCCCCGTTGTCAACAGGAACCGCCCCCAGTGCGCGCAACTGTTGCCAAGGCGTAGAAGTTCAGCCATGAAGTTTTCATGCAGAGGTCCCAGGCCAGAGCCCAAGTTTGAAAAAAGAGCCGCCACCCTCTAACCGTCCAGCTGTTGCATAGTGACAGGCTGTCGGTCTTACAATTCAGACAAAATAATAGTTTTTTATTTTGTTCTTTAAAAAAAAGGAGAGAGAGAACAAAAAAAAAAAAAAAAAAAAAAACACGCTTGAGGCCCATTCTGATAAAAATGAACCTTTAAAACAAAAACGCTTGAGGCCGATTCTGATGACAATGAACAGGCCCCCATCATGGCAACTGCTGGTAGTTCCGACGGATGTGCGCGACGCAAAGGCGAAAACCCCGTTGTGGAAACAAACCGCCCTCGTAATTGAACTGCTGCAAACTTTTGCGACTGAACGCGGCGGCGCATGCGCGTGGCACTAAGGCGAGAGACGCATCTGGAAAACACCGGCCCTCCACTCTTTAGAGCGCATTCTAGATTCGCTAAACTAACGGGCATTATATGGGGGGGGGGCGGGGGGGGGGTAACGTAACGCCCCCCCCGCCGTGAAGTTCTATAGTTCTGACGCCTCAGCGCCCGTACGCATCACAGCAAGCACCAAAGTGCGCAGCACAGTTATGCACCGCCGCAGCAGCGTGCACCGCATCGCTATGTACTGCGCAGTGTCTACGTGCAGCACCAATGCTTCTTCCCCCACACCCTCCTTCGAGCATAATTCTGTGCTGGCGTTTGCTGGGCAACGGGGGCGCCCCAGCGCCGGACGGCGACAACAACGACGACGACGACGACGACGACGACGACGACGAGGACGACGACGACGAGGACGAGGGCGAAGACAGGGACGGGGACGAGGACGAGGATGACGACGAGGACATGGAAGAGGATGAGGACGAGGAGGACGACGAGGACGAAGACGACGACAACAAGGCCAAGGACAAGGAAGATGACAACGACCACGACGAGGACGAGGACGAGGACGAGGACGAGGACGGCGACGGCGACGACGGACGCCTCTGAAGGTCTTTGGAAGCCTAATGAGGTTTCTGGAGACCTCTGGAGGCGTCTGGAGGCCCTTCGAGGCCCTCTGCGACGATGACGAGAACGAGGATGAGCACGAGGACGACGATGAGGACGAGACGGACGAGATGAGGACGGGGACGAGAACGAGGACGTCGTTGACGACGAGGACGAGGACGAGGACGAGGAAGAGGACAAGGAAGAGGACGAGGAAGAGGACGAGGACGACGACCGCCTCTGAAGATCTGCAAAAGTCTCCAAAAGCCAAAGGAGGTCTCTAGAGACATCCGGAAGCGTCTGGAGGCCCTTCGAGGCCCTCGACGACAAAGACGACGAGCGACGAGCGACGACGACGACGACGACGACCACGACGACGACGACGACGACGACGACGACTACGACGACGGCGGTGGCGACAGAGACGAGGACGGAGACGACGACGACGACGAAAACGATGAGGACGACGACGGCGACGAGGACGACGACGCCGACGACGACGACGAGGACGACGACGCCGACGAGGACGAGGACAAAGACGAGGACGAGGACGACGGCCACCTCTGAAAGTGTCTGGAGGTCTCTGGAGGCCTACGGAGGTCTCCAGAGACCGCTGGAGTCCGTCTGGAGGGCCTTCGAGGCCCTTGGCGACGACGACGACGAGGACGACGACAGCCACGAGGACGAGAAGGACGAGGATGACGACGACAGGGACGTGGACAAGGACGGAGACGGGGACACCGAAAGCGACGACGAAAGCGACGAGGACGACGACGACGACGACGACGGCAATAACCAACGACGATGACAACGACAAGCACCACAGTAGCCAGCGAGCATCATAGTGGCAGTGCTGGAGGCGCACAACGGGGTAGGGGGGGAGGGGGAGGGTTACATTATGGGGGGGTGGGAGGCGGCGTAACGTGCGTCATGGCCCAGAGCGTTCAGAAGATGGTTTAACGAATGAGCGCGGCGCGATGGCGAGAGCAGCCCCTGCTGTAAACCACGGGCCCTCCATCTTTGAGCCTGTCAGACGCATGCAAGCTACGAACAACATATCTGTTGCAAAAAAGTCTCAAGCGGAAAACCCAGCCTGGCCTACGGCCGGGGCAACTGTCCGGAAGAAAGGGGAGCGGAGGCGCTCCACAGGGAAAGACCAAGCATGGAGTGGGAGAGGGGGGGGGACTTGAAGGGGCTCAGGGACACACAAATAAATACACACAAATCCCAGGATTCCCCATAGCTAACCATATTTTCTGGAGTTTCGTTTTCCCCCCCACTGTCCATATTTTCAATATTTTCCTGGGGATAGACGATTAATTGTGTCTGTGTGTGTTTCCCCTCCCGAGAATTGCTGAGAGAAAAACAAGAGGAGGAACACGAGGAGGACCAGAGAAGACGACGAAGACGAGGACGGCGACGACGACAAGGACGGCGAAGACGACGACGACGACGACGACGACGAGACGACGGGAGACGACAACGACAAAGATGATGACCCTGACAACGGCCGATAGGATCATTGCTCATTCCGTGGCCCCAGAGATCCCCGACCCATTCCTTGGGGTCTGTTGTTCGACCCCCATCCGCTTGCAATGGTCCTGGCGCCCGATAGCGGGCCCCCTCTCCGAAGTCCAGGAGAGACGCCCAGATTTGACAAAGAAACCACATCGTCAGACGACAACGACGACGACCGACCGACCGACCGACCGAGCGACGACCACAGCGACAGGGCCGACAACGGCGACGACGGCGACGACGACGACGACGGCGACGAGGCCGCCAGCGGGGCGCGCGCGACTCGGCCGGGGGCGGCGGCGGCGCGCCGCGGGGCCCGGGGCCCGGTCCCGCAGGGGGAGGCCCGCGGCGGCGTGGCCCGCGGCGGCGTGGCGCTGGCCGGGCGCGGGGGAGTCTATGCGGGCGAAGTCGGCGACCTGGCCGAGGGGCACTTCGCATTTCAGGAGCAGAAGAGGAAGAAGAGGAAGAAGAGGAAGACGAATAAGAAAAGACGAAAAAGAAGAAGAGGAAGAAGAAGAAGAGGAATAATAATCATAGGAATAAGAATGCTAATAGCACGAGGAAAGAAGAAGAGAAATAAGAAGAAAAAGAAGAAGAGGGTACTTCGCCTGTCAGAAGAAGAAGCAGAGGAAGAAGAAGAAGAGGAAGTACCGATACTGCTGCTCGACCTGGAGGGCTCTCGTCGCCGAAGCCTGATTCACATCAAAATTCTGGTCCGATCGCACCCCCGGAAAGGTCCGGGGCGAAACGCCCCCTCGCGCCAGTCCCTTGTGGGCGACACCAGCAGAGTCGGCGTCGTCGCCATCGTCGTCGTCGTCGCATCCGCCGCCGCAGCCGACGTCGTTGTCGTCGCCGTCGTCCGTAGAGCGTCGTCGTTGCCGTCGTCGTCCGTCGTCCGTGGTCCGTCGTCCGTCTTCCGTCGACCGTTGTCCGTCGACGTTGACGTCGCCGCCGCCGTCGTCGTCGCCGTCGTCCGTCGTCCGTCGTGTGCCATCCGTCGTCCGTCGTCCGTCGGCCGTCGTCCTTCGTCGTCCTTAGTCGTTGTCGTCGTCGTCGTTGTCGATACTCGTCGCCAGTCGCCGTCTGTGTCGTCCCAGATATCCGACGACATAATGTCGTCAATCCGTGCGTGCTTCCTCGATTTTCGGCATCTGGGCCCCTGATTTTTCCCTGGGAGGGTCAAAAATGAATCTGGGGCGAGAAACTCGAATAGGGGATCAACTACAAAATTGAATTGATCTACCGCATACTAAAATGACTCGTCGAATGTTCTTAGATCTACGAGCATGATACACATGTTACGTAGATTCGACGACGAAGCACTTTTGGCGTGAATCCATTCTGCAATCGATCCCCTGCTCGAGAAAAATTATCCTGGCGAAAGACCCAACCATAAGCAATTGTTGGTAACGCGTTGTGGGTGCCGCTTTCGGTGGGGCTCCATATGGGGCCACGAAGCGCTGCCTTGGATGGGGGAACCGCATGCGGACTGCGCCACCGGGGCGGGCCTTCGGTGGAGCTCCCTATGGGGCTACGAAACGCTGCCCTGGGTGGGGGAACCGCATGCGAACTGCGCCACTGGGGCCTTCGGTGGAGCTCCCTATGGTGCCACGAAGCGCTGCCCTGGGTGGGGGAAACGCATGCGAACTGCGCCACGGGGGCTTTCGGTGGAGCTCCCCATGGGGCCACGAAGCGCTGCCCTGGGTGGGGGAACCGCATGCGAGAGCAGCCACTGGGGCCTCCGGTGGAGCTCCCTATGGGGCCGACGCTGCCCTGGGTGGGGGAACCGCATGCGGGGCCTTCGGTGGAGCTCCCTATGGGGCCACGGCTGCCCTGAACCGCATGCGAACACCCCCACTGGGGCCTTCGGTGGAGCTCCCTATGGGGCCACGAAACGCTGCCCTGGGTGGGGGAACCGCATGCGAACACCCCCACTGGGGCCTTCGGTGGAGCTCCCTATGGGGCCACGAAACGCTGCCCTGGGTGGGGGAACCGCATGCGAACACCCCCACTGGGGCCTTCGGTGGAGCTCCCTATGGGGCCACGAAACGCTGCCCTGGGTGGGGGAACCGCATGCGAACACCCCCACTGGGGCCTTCGGTGGAGCTCCCTATGGGGCTACGAAACGCTGCCCTGGGTGGGGGAACCGCATGCGAACACCCCCACTGGGGCCTTCGGTGGAGCTCCCTATGGGGCCACGAAACGCTGCCCTGGGTGGGGGAACCGCATGCGAACACCCCCACTGGGGCCTTCGGTGGAGCTCCCTATGGGGCTACGAAACGCTGCCCTGGGTGGGGGAACCGCATGCGAACACCCCCACTGGGGCCTTCGGTGGAGCTCCCTATGGGGCCACGAAACGCTGCCCTGGGTGGGGGAACCGCATGCGAACACCCCCACTGGGGCCTTCGGTGGAGCTCCCTATGGGGCCACGAAACGCTGCCCTGGGTGGGGGAACCGCATGCGAACACCCCCACTGGGGCCTTCGGTGGAGCTCCCTATGGGGCCACGAAACGCTGCCCTGGGTGGGGGAACCGCATGCGAACACCCCCACTGGGGCCTTCGGTGGAGCTCCCTATGGGGCCACGAAACGCTGCCCTGGGTGGGGGAACCGCATGCGAACACCCCCACTGGGGCCTTCGGTGGAGCTCCCTATGGGGCTACGAAACGCTGCCCTGGGTGGGGGAACCGCATGCGAACACCCCCACTGGGGCCTTCGGTGGAGCTCCCTATGGGGCCACGAAACGCTGCCCTGGGTGGGGGAACCGCATGCGAACACCCCCACTGGGGCCTTCGGTGGAGCTCCCTATGGGGCCACGAAACGCTGCCCTGGGTGGGGGAACCGCATGCGAACACCCCCACTGGGGCCTTCGGTGGAGCTCCCTATGGGGCTACGAAACGCTGCCCTGGGTGGGGGAACCGCATGCGAACACCCCCACTGGGGCCTTCGGTGGAGCTCCCTATGGGGCTACGAAACGCTGCCCTGGGTGGGGGAACCGCATGCGAACACCCCCACTGGGGCCTTCGGTGGAGCTCCCTATGGGGCCACGAAACGCTGCCCTGGGTGGGGGAACCGCATGCGAACACCCCCACTGGGGCCTTCGGTGGAGCTCCCTATGGGGCCACGAAACGCTGCCCTGGGTGGGGGAACCGCATGCGAACACCCCCACTGGGGCCTTCGGTGGAGCTCCCTATGGGGCCACGAAACGCTGCCCTGGGTGGGGGAACCGCATGCGAACACCCCCACTGGGGCCTTCGGTGGAGCTCCCTATGGGGCCACGAAACGCTGCCCTGGGTGGGGGAACCGCATGCGAACACCCCCACTGGGGCCTTCGGTGGAGCTCCATATGGGGCTACGAAACGCGTGAGAGGTGTGCCGAGTGCAGAGGCAAGGAGGGGGAGGAGAGGAGGAGAGGAGAGGAGAGGAGAGGACGCGGGCACCGTCTCTTCAAAACGAGGACCCAACACCACAGGATGGTTGGGAAAAAAAAAAAAAAAAAAAAAAAAAAAAACGGGAGGGCGATCGGGATCTCTGGGGCCGCACCTGGCATACACGCATATCGATAGAGGTTTGGGATCGAGATTCGAAGATCGAGGTTCGAAGATCGTCTGTCGGAGGTTCGAGGTTCGAGGATCGAGGTTCAAAGATCGAACTTCGAGGATCCAAGTTCGAGGATCGAGATTCGAGGATCGTCTGTCGACGAGCGAGGGTCGGGCAAGGAGGTGGGACCCCAGGGGGCAACCTGCTCAGGGGGGGGAAGAAACAAATCGCGCTGCATCGCAGATACATCGCCGATAGAGCGGCGAATCCGTCGGGGCGTTGACCTAAGGAACCCTACATAAGGAACGAGGCCCCTTTCTCCCATAAGCTGAACTTCGGTTCCCCACAGAAATCGTCAGGAAAACCGAAGGCAAACTACAGAACAATCAAGGAACACCGAGCCCCTCCCCAACGAAAAGGGTTCCTTCTTCAGGGCCCCGACAGTAGGCCCTCGATGGCGAATCCGCAGGGTCCTACGCGGGGTGGACTATCGGGCACCATACCGGCGATCAGTGGGCGATGGGGGGGCGATGCGTTGCCCTTGAGCCTATCCCCACCCAGCGCCGCCCCCTGGATCTGGGGGGCCCCTGCGCAAACAAAGCAATTACCAAGTCAGACCTTGGAGATTCCAACCGGAGAAAGCGAGGCACGGAGAATGCCTCAACCCTTGGCTGCATTTGTTTCGGGCGCGCCAACGTCATGGTGTGTGGAAGTCTCCTTTCAGGAAGGCCCTGAGCAGTATTCCCTGGCTCCTTTAGACTTCACTGGAGATCTCCAAACTTACCTCGTCCGAAATGGATTTCCATCGAGCTGTGTCGATCTGCCATTGCCTGCCATGTCGATTAGGAGATGGGCGCCAAGCCCTGAGGGACACCTGTGCAGGAGAGGAGATGGAGCGAGACCGAAGTGGCGGGTATAAGGGCAGGCTCCTAAACATGGGAATGCAAAAGGAAACGGTGATGGTGGTGATGACGATGATGATGGTACTGATGGCAGATATGGTGATGACGGTGGCCGTGGTGATGCTGCCAAAATGGTTATAACGAACGTACGGGTGATGGTAATAATCATGGTGGTGCTGGTTACCACATTGATTGTAGTGATGATGACGATGATGGTTGATTACGATGATGCTGGTGCGAGAAAATATCGTCGCTTCGTACGGCGCAAACTCAAGGGTAAGACAAGTGGTATGCAATTCCGACTGCCCGCTTAAACAATGGGCCCACCAGAGACGCAGAAGCCGCCAACGACAACAATGGGCGCAGCCAGTCTACCACATGGTGTAAAGGCTGATTTGACGCATACTCGCCGACATCTATCATCTTCAACTCGGCGCCGGCGTTTTACCGTGCTCCCTCGCCCGTCGCCGCTCTCCACAACGTTGGGCTGTTCGTTTGCTTTGCCTACGCGTCCACTCGGATGCAAGGCTGCTGTATTGTACTGTACTGGTGGTTGTGAGTGTGAGCGTGACGAGGCTGAATATGATTATGCAGATACTGCTGATGAGTATGATGCTGATGACGTTGATGTTGATGACGATGACGGCGACGACGAGGACGAGGACGAGGACGACGGCGATGTTGATGATGATGATGATGTGATGGTGGTGGTAGTGATGAGGAAGATACTTAAGTCATAGTGATCATGGTTGTGATGATGATGACGATGACGGTGACCATGATGATGATGATGATGATGATGCCAAGGAGGGTCGCCGTGGCCATAGCGTTCCTTTTTAGAAAAGCTGACGGTGGCGATGGCAAGAAACGATGCATCAAGGCCACGAGCGGCGACAGCCACTGCAGGCAACACAGACGGCACAGACGCAAAATCGAAATTAAACCCTCAAGCGAGGGCGGGTGGGCTTGGGAGCTT